GGCAGTCTGTGTCCATGACAACGACAGCCTTGGAAATCCTCCGGGGCAGTTCTAGGCTCTCCTGTAAGGTTGCTGTGAGGTTGAATTGTCTTGATGGCAGTGGGCTTGCTTTTAATGAGTTTGAGCTACAACTTGGAGCAGGCTATGTGTGCTTAACAACAGCCTGGCGGTGCCTCCGACATCCTCCTGCTTTGTCAGGAACTAGGCTTCCTTGTGGTTTCTCTGAAATCCTGTTTGGCTGTTCCACCCTACCACACTCCCGGTATCACCACTCTCACCACTGGTCCTGAAGGGATCATCCATCCTGGATTCCCTGTGTTTCCAGTTCCTATCTGTATCAGTGTACATCCTCTGGTCTAGCCAAATTTGTAAGGTAGAATTGGGTACAATGGCTCCATGTATTCCTTCCATCTTCTTTGGTGTTATTCAATAAATTTTTTCTCTTTTGACTTTTTAACTCCAACTGTTTATACATTTCATTTTACTTAGACTTTTTATTGATTTACTTAAAAAAAATTTTTATTAGGAGCTCTTGCAATCCATACATCAATTGTATCAAGCATATTCATACATCTGTTACCATCATTATTTTCTAATCATTTGTTTTCTATTTGAGGCCTTGGTATCAGCTACTCTTTATTCCCTCCCACCCACCCTTGTGATCCCTTGATAAATTATAACTATTAATAGTTTAATATTTTACACCGAGCGCTGCCTCCCTTCCCCCACGGTTTCTTGTCTGTATTTGTGTCATGCTCCGGTCTAGCCAGAACTGAAAGGCAGGACTGGGGTCATGGTAGTAGGGGGTGAGGAAGCCTCAAGGAACCTGTTTCTTTGGTGCTACTCTGCATCCTGGTTGACTCATCCCTTTCTCTGACCCTTCTGTGAGGGGATATCCCATTGTCTACAGAAGGGCTTTTGGTCTCAGCTCTGATGCCCTTTGTTCTCAACAATATGTTTTTGGGGGGTGTTTGTTTGTTTTGGGTCTTCTGGTGCCTGTTACCTGATTCTGTCAATACCTCATGATCACTGGTATGCTTTTCCCATTTGAGCTTGTTGCTTCTCTGCTAGATGTCCACTTGTTTAACTTCAAGCTGTTAAGACCACACACACTCTATCTTTTGATAGCCAGGCACCATCAGCTTTCTTCACCACATTTGCTTGTGCACCCATTTTTGTCTTCAGTGATTGTGCCAGGAGGGTGGGCATCACAGAATGCCAGGTTGTTAGAACAAAGTGTTCTTATGTGAGGCAGAGTTTGAGCAGAAGCCCAAACTCCATCCACTACCTCAATGTATTGCCATATAAATATATGTACATATGTTAATACCTTTATTTTTGTGAATTAATGTATTTGCATATATGCACACCCATGTTTATACCTCGATCCATAGCTTTACTTCCTAGACCTTTCCTGTTTCCTTTTACCTTCCGCCTGCCCCACTGTCATGCTTACCCTTCTTCTATCTCTTAGTACTTCCTCTCAGCTAGATTGCTGTTACCTCAACACCCCCAGGATCTCTGCGCACTCCTCGTTGTTGACTTTAATCTCCTAGCTGTTTCCCTGTCTATGGTGTTGTTTGCTTACTGCACCCTTCCCCCGCCTTCTACCACACAGTCCCTCCAGAACCGCTGGTCACGTTGCTTTCTCCTTGAGCTTGCTTCCCATGCCTATCTCAAAACTTTCTGGTCAAGCAGCAGGAGCACCAGGCAGGTGATTCTACCTGGTTTCCATCTTGACTCCTTAGAACTACTTAGTCTTTTTGAGCTACACTTTGAATGTTTCTGTTCGGCATTTTTACTTTAACATTTCTTCTATTTGCTTGAATTTCTACATTCAAGAAAAAATTTCAGAATCTCTTCTGACATTCATTTTTGCCCTTTCTTTCTTTTTTGTCTTTTTAATGACCTTCTGCTTTCTTCATGTCCTTGATGTGATTCTATACCTGAGTCATTGCTGTTCAACGTGTGAAGTCTAGTTTTGAGACTGCCTGTAAGCTCAGGTGGGATATATTCATGGTCACCCTTTGATGCTCATAGAGTTCTTTTGCTTTTTTGTAGCTTCAGCGTTAGCATTTGGAGATCTGCTCTGTAGTCCGTGCCTGTTCTTGCTCGACTGATGACCTTGAGCGCCCCTTTCGCCTCTTGCCACAGACGTAACTGGTTTGATTCCTGTGTAGTCCATCTTGTGAGGACCATACTTGCTGTCTTCATTTATGTTGTGGAAAAAAGTGTTTGCAACGGATAAGCTGCTGGTCTTGCAAAATGTTATCTATCCTATGATCTCTGGTGCCATTTCTGTCTCCGCCAGTATCCATGCAGTGGCAGTGTGTTTGGTTTGGGGTATGGAAATTCCATACAAACATTACTTCCTCTGAAATCCTATTGAACTGTGCAGAATTTGGAAACTATAAATTATTTATGCCTAGAACATTTTGGTTTAAAAAATAGTTTTAAAATTTTTAATTACTTATTTTTGAATGGGCAGTACATGCATGAGATTACTCAAAAATAAGCCAATAAAGAAGAGTATAGGACAGAAGTCAGTGCCTTGGACCCTAGAATCCCTTTCCCTCTGCAGATGCCTGGTTTCTTCTGCTCATTCCAGAGATGGCCTGCACTTAAGCACCATCAGGAATGATTGGGCTGTATCGTGATGAGGAGGGCTTCAGTGTAGGAACTGCGGCGACAGATCAGCCAGTCTGAGCTAATAGGGACGTGAAGGGAACCAAGATTTCAAGGCCTGAATGAAGTCAGAGAAGGAAGATCTGTATGGGATCTAGAATTGGGGAAATTAGAGCTGGTATTCGTTTTAACCGATGTCTGTGTTCATACCAAGAGGAGCAAAAACATGGTCTTCTGTTACTCACATACTTAAGCTCACAAGTACTGTACCAATCCACAGAGAGCCTGGATTCAATAAGTGCTGTCTTAAGTGGTCAGTCATGTTTGAGTGCCAAGTGCAAGCGCACGTTTTTAAACTTTTATGCTTCTAGTTGCTAATCAGGCTTTTTAAAAAAAGTAATCTATAATACTGTTTGCAAGACTTGTGATCCATAGTCTTCTAGAAAAATGTTCCATATCATTGGCAGCAAAATCTTCTTCCAGGTAATAGAGTATGTCACTGCATACAAATCCATTCTTACTTCAATCAAAAAAGAATATGATGCCTTTATCGAGACCATAAAGAAAGGCCGAAGCACCGCATTGTATGTTCATGGAAGACTTAAAGTCATGGCGGCAGAGCCCACAACCTTGGTCTATCACAGGAAAAGAATAACTCAACTTGAAGCAAAGTAAGTGTCCTAGCCCTTATCCTCAAAGTGACCGCTGCTGCTTGATGATATCAACTACCCAGCACAAATAATCAGTGTTTCCGTTTTTTTAATTACAGTTTTTCATTTTAAGCCATGTGTTCTGTGTTAACCTCACCCGCCAATTTGAAATATTGCTATGTAATCTTACACTGTTTCACTTAAAAAATAACTGAAGGCACATTGGCATATCATAAAATCAGGGAGACAGGAAATCGCCCCAGGTAGCTTCCTGCGTAGATTTGACAGAACCATGTCAGGTTATCCCTGAACCGTAGCACCCCATCTTACAGTGCTCAGCAGTAAGCGCTGGCTCGGAGAGAGTGAAACACTCACTCGTGGTTCCTAGTGTTTTACTTGTTAATGATGGCCAAGCATGGGGGAAAGAGAGTTTCAGATCCCTCTAGAACATTCTGTAAAGTTGAATTGTTCTATCTGGTAATATGGCTGGGTAGATGCTGCAGCAGACTGTCCTCCTGGGGGAAAATGTTCCATCAAACGAGAAAGGAAAGCTGTTCAAAGTGCCAGGAAGCTAGCAAGATAATAAACGATCGTGCCAAAATCTAGAAAAATCTAAAGATGAGCAGAGCTCTACGGCTGCTCTGGACCAGAGGACAGTTATAAATTGTGCCCACATGGCCTGGGGAACAAGAGACAAAGCCCAGGATCTGCTTACGGGGCGGAGTCCACAGCAAAGCCTTTTCCTGAGAAAGCTAAGACTGCTTGTAGGCTGAACCACCCACCTCAGCAGAACAAGAGCAACAACAGAACGTAGAACTTGAGACATGTTGGTGACAACTGGGCCTGTGTGTGGCCTTCTAGCCACGGTCACATCTCTTAGACCATCTCTAAAATTGGAATCATGCCACTTAGAGTGCCCCGACAACTGCTTTCCCATGGCAAAAGCACTGTGAGTCATTCTGGAGGAATTTTCATAAGTAATTGTTAAGGGAAAGAAGTAATTCACAGGGAAAAATAGCTCAGCAGATAAGACAGTGTGGCATCATGAGCAACAACCAGCAAACAACACAAAGCAAAAATAAATGCAAAGACTTCAGATACTAGAATGACAAGGAAGATCACAAAATGTGCCTGTTACCTACATAGGGCGACCCTGTTGGCAGTGGATTTATGTTTACTATGTTAAAAAAGAACAAAGCCAAAAGACAGTGGGAACCACAGCTTCATTCCTATCATCAAGACCACATTCCAACTAATACTCCTTTCTCTTTATTTCCAACTTTGCATTCCAATTGCCAATAACTATCAGTGCATCTTGATGGCATGTTTGATCAATTTCCAACGAAGGCTGTTGCTAGAATTGCCAGTTTCTGTGTCAAGTCACTTCAGTGGTCAGTGCACGCATGTGACTAATGGTTATGGTCACTGGATTTCCTTGTATGCGGAGAGACATTGTCCTATCCCCGACAGCAGTGTCCTCAAGAAAGACCTTGGGATGTCCTTGTTGAGGATGATGCAATGTCATCCCTTCGATTGTGCCGCTCTTGACATAGTAAGTCATGTGGCTTTCTGACTCATGGCCAAAAATAATGTATAAAACAGTAATCTATTAAACATTGAAATATATGACGATCAGATAAAGTTGGTAAGAAGGAGGATGAAGTTAAAGTGTTGTAAGATTCACGTAGTATAAAACATGAAGTTAGAGAACAGCAAAGCAAACCTGACAAAATATAAGGGAAGAAATGATTAAGATAAAAATAAAACTAACTAAAAGGTAATCTCCCAAACCAATTCTTTGAGAAGACTTCTATGTTTGACAAATCTCTGTAAAATTGATCGCAATAAAAGGATGGAAATAGATGCCAGAATATATAATTTTGCTGACTGCATATATTAAAAAAAGGGGCTGTCTTAATAATTGATTGAAAACTAGTTGGGAATTATGTGAAATGGAAATATTTGGAAAAATTACATTTTACCCAACCTGACTAAAGAAAGAACCCAAATTAATCTGAAACTCATCTAAAGAAGCAGAGGATATTTTCAAACATGAGATTTCCATGCAGATGACTTGGGTAAAAATATCCCCGATGTCAGAGGGAATATAACTCAATATTAGTGCCCCCCCATTATCATAGCATAAGATAGAAATGGCTGTGCCCCTCTTATGGTTGAATTTAGCCCATTTTGATACCACCCCCTGATAAGAGAACAGAGAACAAAAGCCGGTATCACTTCTGGATGAATCTGGACATCATAAATCAGTCACAAAAGTACAAGCACGGCATGATCTTACATTTGTCAAGGGACACGAAGAGGTGTGTGCACAGAAACCAGCATTCACTGGTGGCTACCAGGGCGCGGAGGGGCAGGGAGGAGACTTCTGGTGACAGGAAAGGTTGCGCTGAGTGAAGCCTGCGCACCTTTACCAAGGAGCATGGCAAACACTGCGGAGGGAGCGCACAGGGATGATGAATGCTTTGGGTGATGAAAAGGCGCTTGGTAACTTAAACATGATGAAAACAAAGCCTTCGGTCCATCAAAAGACACCATTCAGAGGGCGAAACCCAAGCTACAAGCTGGGAGAGGATACCCATGACAGCGAGATGCGGCAAAGGCGCTGTGGAAAGAACACGTGACAAAAAAGACAAGGAGCAAAGGGCTTGCCTCACTGCCTGGAGCCCCTGTCAGAGCACAGGGTAGAACGGCCTCTGCATTTCTGAGACACCCGATGGGAGTGGGAAGTGCTGTCTTTTCTCCTGGGGAGTGCTGGTGGTTACCGCCGGTTGGCCTTGTAGTTAGTAGCTCAATGAGTAACCACTACTCCACCAGGGATCGGGCCATTCACCAAAGAGGATGTCTGGTGGCCAACAAACACATGCAAAGATGCCCAGCCTCTGGCCCAGGCTGTTTCCTTTCTCGTGTTGCAGCTTCCTTGCTGCCTAAAAAACAAGAGACTTCAATTTCCTTTCCAGAGTGTGACTGCCCCTGGCCACAAGGAACGAGCCCATAACCAGCATTCTAAAAACGGAAGTTATTAAGGGTTCGGGGAGCTGATCGACTGACATTTTCTGCCTGCTTTGTAGTTCTTGCTTCCCTTTGGAGGCGATACCTGAAGCCTAGTTGGATCTCTGTCAGTCATCCCTCCACACAGAAGGCCCTAAAGACAGAATGCTTTCTCCCCATCCCAGCAAAACCTCTTGAAGGTCTGAAACATAATGGGTGTTTTTTGTCAACTGGACCCCTGGCGATGCTGGTGGGTTAGTGTTGGACAGCTAACCATAAAGCCAGTGGTTCAAACCCACCAGGAGCTTTGCAGGAGAAAGAAGAGGCTGTCAGCGCCCATGAAGATTCACAGCATAAAGCCTTGGAAACCTTCCACAGGATGGATGCCAGCCAGAACTGACTCCTTGGCAGTGAGTTGGGTGTTTTATTTGGGGTGTCTCAAATAGCGTGCATTTCAGAGGTGACTCAACCAGCTGATGCCCATTTCGCTGTGTCGCACTGCCTGTGAAGGGACGGACAGCGCCCGATCATTCTTCTTGGAAAAATTAGGCCAGTCTGTTAACTTGCACATGCGTACAGTAGACTGCTTTGAAGCAGGCCTGCCGTCCATCAGCCAAGCTTATTGTGAGGGAAGCCACAAAATCGGGGGACTCTGGACTGTGGACAAGTACATTGTGTTGTTTTAAGTAAGCAAGTTAGGGATCGTTTGTTACAGCAACAATGACCACGGGGAAACCACTCCAAGGGGCTCAAAACGATGGTGGCCTCGTGGGCCGGAAAGGTAACAGTATCCACCTCCCTTGTCTAGTTGAACTGAAGGCCCGAGGAGAGTTGATTGTGCACTGCTGTGCATCTGTGCTGTTGGGAATAGGTGCAACTTCAGGTGTCGCTCATTTCTTACACTGAGTACTGAGAGAGCATGCTTCCCTACCTTTAGAGGTAAGTGCTAAGTGATAGATAATAGCAATTTAAAAGAAAACTTTTCTGGTGGGAATTTTAAAATTCTGATTTTCAAAGACCCTATTTTCTGGTCTGGACGCTCTTTAGATGTTTATAAACAGAATATCGACATTCTCCAAATAAACCCAGATGGAATAATGTCATTGAGTCTTGCTGTCCTAAAGACAGATTTATTCAGTATTTAATGCATGCATAAGACTCTGAAGCATGAAATTACAAATAAAGTTGTTCCCCACGACTCACAAAAAGATAATGGAATTTTCCCATGGACCTTTTGAAGACCTCTCTTACATTATGAAAATCGTTTTCAAATTTCAAAGGTAATTTTTGACTAAATGAATAAATATAATACTCAGTGATCAAGTTACTGAGTTTAGCATTTATACATTTCCAAGGGGGTTAAGGACCATCTTGAGATTGCATTGGTTCTCAAAAAGAAAGCTGCTCTTCATGCTGAGATTAGCTAGCCTTCTCAGGGGACTTCCTGAGAGTCAACAAACGTTTAAATGAGAATTAGCCAAAATAAAAGTATGATTTAAACTCATGCTGTTATGATCCAAGAATTTAATTAGTTGACAGAAATATAAGAAAACATCTCTGTTTTTCAGAATAAGGGTTATTGAAAATAATTCCTCAAGGATCCAAATGCAGATCGAGACCATGAAACAGCTTAGAGCAGAGTATGAAAAGAAAGACAGAGACGATTGTTCTTTCTCCAAAGGTCCTTCGAATCCCATTCCAGGTACAACATTTTGTTTAAAGTATCGAGAGCTATTCCAACGATGACATATGACAGAAATGGACATCGGTGTGCGGCTAAGTGTACATTTACCAGTTGTGGGCTGTATAGGCACTTCAAATATTACTCCAGGCAGATTCGAAGAAATGAGCAGGTTAGAGCCTGACTGTATCGGATAGTGCATACGTGTAATGCCTCTGGTTCCTGGATCACCTGGGAACCTATTAGAAATGCTTATCCTCAGGGCCCACTTCTGACCTGCTGAATCAGAAGCCAGGGGAGAGCCAGCAGTCCGTGCTACGCTCCCCAGCTCAGGAAGGACAGGTGGGAAATGGAAGGCCTGCCATGTGCTGTGCGCTGGGGAATGGCTGGCTCCTCTGGTTTCACATCTTCAGGAACTGGAGTACATCTAGAGTCATGCAGGAGTTGAGAGGTTTGCATGGTGAGAGTGAATGGTGTCAGATTATCCCGTGAGCAAGGAAATCTGTAGTGATCACCGAAACCCAGGTGAAAATGTTCACTACAGATTAGTAAATAAGCCACGCTTGCTTGCCTTGCTTACTGGATAATCCACCAATCATTCATCCAGGAGAGATTATTCAGACTGTAAGGATTATAACCAGGAGTGAGTAGATCTTTTTTCCTTGCCCTTATCCAGAGGCAAGGAGCCCTGGTGGCGTAGTGGTTATGTGTTGGGTGACTAACTGTAAAGTCACCAGTTTGAAACCACCAATCGCTCTGTGGGAGAAAGTTGAGGCTTTCTATTCCCTTCAAAGTGACAGTTAAAAAAAAAGAGTGACAGTCTGGGAAACCCACCAGGGCAGGTCTGCCCTGTCCTATAGGGTGACCATTGGTCAGAATTGACTCGATGGCAGTGAGTTTGCATTTGTTTGGTGTAACCAGTGGCGGGATCAGTAAGTGGGAATTTTCGGAAGATGGATGAATGGGAGAGGCTATTTTCGGAGGTAATGGGCTGCACCATACTGCTGTTTTGTGCCACCAAGCAGGTTCCAGTCCACAATGACCTTCTAGCTAGGACAGAGTAGACAGAACTGCCCAGGGATGGTCTAGAGCAGACTCCAGCTCTTGCTTTTACAGAGCAGCTGGTGGGTTTAAACCACAGACCTTCCCATTAGCAGCCAAGTGCTATTACAAATGCTCCACTACCCACTGCCATGAGTGGGCCTGACGCAAAGCGACCAGGGCTTCCAAGGCTGGAGAGTTGGATGGAGGCAGATGCCAGCCCTTCTCCCACAGGGTGACTGGTGGTTCGCACTCCTGGCTTGTTAGTTAGCCTCCAACACAACCCAGCACCCAGGATTGCCAATGAGGGTGAACGATTATTTTGCATTTCCTCAAAGGAACTAGACGTACTTAAAAAACATACAATTGTGGCCAGCAAACTACAGATAAGATACCTGCAGGTAAGTACAGAATAGGTGACACAGTGATGAACCGCTGAGAGAGTCAAATAAAAGAAGGGTTAATATGACCAGCCAAGGAAGTTTCTGGGTAATTTCAATGTGTGTGTGGTCAGGGTGATAATGACCCAAGAGTAGAAGGGAAGAAGGTATTTGACGTGATAGAATGTGTGAATTGAATTGAGACGAGACAGGGAGAGATTATTGAGGATTTGGTATTTATCAGCTTTGTGTTGGAGAGTATAAATATTACCCTGCTGTGGTAGTAGTTGATGGTAGATTTATTTAGAACAATTTTGGCTGACTAGAATTCGGAATTGTTAGGCAAAGGCTCCTGGCGTGACTGAGGAACACTAATCCTTAAAAATGTGCAGGGTGTAGTGGTAAGAGTGTAAGAGGGGGTAGCCCCCCAAACCGGATTTTCCCCCCACAGCTATGTAGTTACTTTAAAAAAAAAAAAGAAAACAACCTTATCATCTTCAAAGTACTCTCTATTATACTTAATGCATTTGTCAAATCTGCGATTCCTTTCTTGCTCAGCAGCGGAAAAATGCCTCCTCCCAAAGCTCATGTTTATGAGCCAATATGCATATGAGCTCACTGGCTGACTCAGGAACCATGGAGGACAGTGTAGAGCCGTCCTATGAGCTTCTGAGACAGAGGCCCACCTTCCTCCTGAGGAGCAGTTGGTGCTTTTGAACTGCTGACCTTGCAGATCACAGCCCAATGAGTAGCCCCTATGCCACCAGGACTCTAGATATCTATCTGTCTGTCTGTCTAGATGTATAGGTATGTAATTAAAGATTTCAGGTTTATGTGTTCTCAGAACAATAATTGGTGATGGGCTTAAAACGGCTATCAGTTAAGACTGTAGGCTATGTGTTTTCTTGTTGGTCAGCTAACGATGCTACCATTTCTGAACTTTGGAAATTGCTTCTAAGATCTGTTTGCACACCTGATCCCACTAATGGCTGTGTCATTTGCTCCCTGTCCCATAGGCCTGACTGTCAAAGAATCTGTCAATCTGGACACCCTCACTAAACACCTAAAAAAACTTGAAGATAAATATACAGAAATTAAAAAAGCAATGTTGATGAAATACATACCAGCTCAGAAGAAGGCTGATTTGGATGAGGAAATGATTGTGTTATTACAACGGAGAGATGTAGCTGAAAGTCAGAACAAGGAGTTACTGTTTCAGTATGGGCGTTGGTGATAAGTTTTTGACGTTGGAATCTCTTATTTGTGTTTATGCTAAGACTCCCTCCCTGGGTGTTAGGCTCACATGTTGCTGTTTGATGTTTTACAGTCACCAAAGGATTCAGATTGCTTCACAGGCACTCGCTTACTGGGTTCACTCGGACAGGAGCAGCTCTTTCCAGGACTTCCTGGAGCAGATTCAGAAGACCAGAGTTCTATTTGGTAGGTTATAGTTCTTAAGGTGCGGATAATGGAGGGCTTATTTGTGTGTGCCCCACAGAGCCAAGAGTAGATGTCTCCTATCCTGGATATGAGAGGAACGGAAGTCTATTTTTGCTAGGTCACTGTCGCCCTGGGCTTCTTCTGCAACAGCCTCCATAAGAGGCTGTTTTTTTAAGGGGCACTCATAAAAACCCGGAATTGTTTTTCAAAACTATGTATTTAAATTTTTTACAAAACAACCGTACCACCTCCAGAGTACTGCCATTACACTTAATACATTTTTTAAATCTGTAACTCCATTCTTGGAAACATTTTTCAAACTCATCTGTTTGGATAGCACCTCCCTCGTTTTTTTCTTCACCTCTTCTACATCGTCAAATCGCTGTCCTTTCACGTCCCTCTTCGTTTGTGGAAAAAGAAAGTTGCACAGAGCATGGTCAGATGAGTAAGGTGTGTGGAGCAAGAGAGACATGCTGTTTTTTGCCATAAACTGGCACACTGAGCTGGCTGAATGAACAGATGCATTGTCGTGGTGGCAAAACCCGTCCCCTGTTCTGCCACGAATCAGGCCTTTTTTGTCAAACACTGTTGCTCGATCTTTTCAGAACCTCTACATAGAAAGCTTGATGAACAGTCTGACCAGGTAGAATGAACTCCAAATGCACTATCCCTCTCACATTAAAACAACAACAACAACAACAACAAGAAAACCCAAATGAGCATCATCTTGATCTTTGATTTCACTTGATGAACTTTACTGGGGAAAGGTGAGGATGGCATCTTCCACTGGCTTGAGTGTTGTTTGCTTTTGGGGTCATAAGAACAGCACCATGTCTCGTCACAGTAATGACCTTGGGAAAAAAGTCTGGGTGGCTTTGGAGCTGCTCTTTTAAAGCACGGAATGTTTCCACTCGACACTCTTTGTGCTGCTCAGTCAGAACCTGAGCCTCAAATTTCATAGCAACCCATCTCGTTCCCAAATCTTCCGTTAAAATTCACTGAACTGAGCTCCAAGATAGTTCAGATAACTTCCCCATCTCTTCAGTGATCTGTTGTCAGTCTTTTAGCACAATAGCATGAATTTTGTTGACATTTCGTCCATTCAGGATGTTGACAGACATCCAGAATGAGGTTTGTCATCAGTCGACATTTCACCTTTTTAAAAATGAGGAAACCACTTGTATACTTGAATTTTTCCCATAGTGCTGTCCTTGTAAGCTATGTTCAACATCACAACAGTTTCAGCAGCATTTTTCCTGAGCAGGAAACAAAATTTTAAGAGACCACACGCTGTTCTCTTAAATCGGCCATCACAAAAAAACAGCTTTTGAGAGAAACTGCTTTTACGGAAATATTCACTGTGACCAGAGAGAACCCTCCCATGTGATGCCACTGAGTGCCCTGACTCGGAAAGAGTTGCTTGCTGCTCACCTAGCAGGGACAATGCGTGCTGTGAAAGCTCGGAGAAAAGAAATAAAAAAAGAAAGCTCTGCCCACAGAACGTTTTTCTGTTTTTTTGGGGGGTACCCCCTCCTAGACTTAGGGAGCCCAAGAAAGATTCACTGAAAGTGTCCCTGAGAGCAAGGAGAAATGGAACTCTGTTGATATTGAAGAGGTCTGGTGGCGCAGATGTTAAAACTATCAGCTGCCCCTCCCCCCAGAAGAATTTATTTCAGAGGACAGCACTGAAGCTGCAGCTCGGGGAGAGGGACATGTCTGATCAGAGCTCACGGGAGCAAATGAAGGGGGAGGACGAGAGAGTAGAGCACATCCTGGCCCACCAAGCCTTGAGGACGATATTCCCACTCAGCAGCCAATGCACAGAGAGGACCATATGGCCGGCCCCATCATGAGACACGATGTCCCTCACTACGGGGGACAACACTGGATACACAGTGTTGGGATTGTGCCCGTCTGACCCCACTACACCGAGGCAAAACAGTAAGGGTGTGGAACAGAACAACAAGGGGAACAGAGCAAGAAAGTCCCAAGGGAGTGCCAAGGATAGACTTCAGGGCCAGGGCGTGGCACCCCATCGGACTCAACTGGAGGACACTCCTAGAGGTCAACAAATAACCTTGAACTATTTATAGGTTTTTCTTTTTTTTAATTTTTATTATTTATTATCATTGGCTTGATGTTGTTATTTTTTTGTTTTCTGTTGTCGCTTTGTTTTGCTCTGTCTTTTTTTGTGTGTGTGTATTATTATCTCCCCAGGTCTATATAGATAAGATAGGCTGGATGAACAGTCTGGAGGAGAAAACAATGGGACTGATGGTTCCGGGGGGACATGGGAGAGGAGGAGTGAGGGGAAAGGAGGTGGTGTTGACCACCCAAGGGACAAAGGAACAACAAGTGATCCAAAATCAGTGGCAGGAGGGTGTAAGAGGCCTGGTAGGGATTGATCAAGGGCAATGTAATCAAGAGAAATTACTGAAACCCAAATGAAGGCTGAGCATGATAGTGGGACAAGAGGAAAGTAAAAAGAAATAGAGGAAAGAACTCGGAGACAAAGGGCATTTATAGAGGTCTAAATACAAGCATGTACATATGTAAACATATTTATGAGGATCGGGAAATAGATCTATGTGCGTATATTTATAGGTTTAGTATTAAGGGAACAGATGGACATTGGGCCTCCACTCAAGTACTCCCTCAACTCCCTTTGTTCTGTTGGCATTCCATGATGCTCACCTTCCTGACAAGAACATGGAAGACAAATGTGTACAAAAGCAAATGTGAAGAAAGCTGATGGTGCCTGGCTATCAAAAGATACAGCATCTGGG